TTAAGCTAAATATACTTTAGCTGTAATACTTACCTATAATTATAGTCTTTTAGCTGTCTTTATAGCTTTCTTTACTGCTATTATTATAGCTTTCTATAATTATCTTTAAGTTATTAAGGTATTATTATAGTTAATTACAACTTTAGCTATAGCTTAGCATACTTCTGCCTTAGTATATACCTAAAGTATTGCTTAGGCTCTCTTAAGAGTATTACTCTTTAAAATATAGCTTATAAGTTTATTATATACTTCTTTTTAAGTATTATTAAGTTAGTCTTAAGTTATAAGCAGCTTATTACTGCCTAGTTCTTATTTATTAAACTATTCTCTTTTTATATTTAAGTAGTAGTAACTCTAGGTAAGCCCCTTATTACTACTATTAATAACTATTAGTATCTTCTCTACTGCCTTGCCTCTAGAGCAGCTGCTATGCAGCATTATAAGTAGAGGCAATTAAGTGCAAGAAAGAAGGTCCTTATATTAGTTTGTATTTTAGAGGCAGTCTTAAGCTAGCGCAGTAGTGCTGTAGACTAAAGGCTGAAAAGTTTTTTAATATAAATATTAGTAAAGTATATAGTAATTAAAGTGCTCTCTTTATTAATAGTAAAATTAAATATTCTATATAGTATATACTTAGTATTCTATATAGACCTTATTAAGTAAGTAGTATTTTACTGCCTAGCTAAGTGCTCTAGAACTTCTGCTTACTACTAGTATTAATTAAAGTAGATAAAACTCTTTAAAGTAAAGAAACTTATAAATATAAAGTAGAGGAAATTCTAGTAGTAAAGAATGCACTTAAAAGAGGCAGAAAGCAAAATATATATATTAAGTAGAAAAAGTATATTTAACTAATATAGAAACTACTTAAAAGTTTTTAAGATACTATAGCACTTAACTAATTTAAAGCTAAGTAGAGAGATATATAGAAGTATAATAAGCTTAATTTATAGGCAATTAATTCCTAAATAATAGTATAAAGCGTAGAGCTAATTAATTAAATAAATAAAAAAAAAAAAAAAAAAAAAGAGAGAGACAATACAACTATAAGGCTTAATACGCACCTAACCTGCGCCTGCTATAGCGCCTACTTAAAAGGCAGGCTAAACTTATTAAACTAATTCTACTTCTTATTCTCCTACTCTAAATTAATAATAGAGGTTCTAGGGGGAGGGGGGAGAGCGCGCTAGCAATAAGCTGGATTCTAGGCAGGAGGGAGAGAAGGAGAAGAAGAAATAGTATTCTAAACACTACTACCTCTATAATAGTTCTTCTTTCTGCTATAGAGTTAAGTTAGGCTATTAAGAGTATAGAACTTAACGTAATAGCTGTAAGAATTTGCCTCTCTATAAAGCGCGTTAACTAGAGTGTAGGTTAGTTCCTACTAGTTAGCATGCTTATAGCGTAAATCCTTATGCTCTGCTTACTGCTTGCGCAGTATTTGCTTAATATTTTAAGCTATAGTTGCCTAGCCTTAGAAAAAATTAACTAGTATCTACTAGTTCTAGAGGGTAGGCTCTCTATAACAGATAGGCATAAGAGTGCTTATAAGCGCAAGCGCTTATATATTAGCAGCAGGTAAAGTATTAGCAGCAGCAGACAATAAAAGGCAGGCTAGGCTAGGGGTAATATAGGCATGTTCTAGCAATAAGTTAAATTTTTTAGTTGTAAAGTTAAACTACAATAAAAATTTAGCGTAAGCGCTTAGAATATCCCCTAACTTTTTGCATGCAGTAGATATAATATACCTGCTAGTAGTAGTAATACTTATAACCTTTTTCTATTAGTAGTAGAGCTTTAGATTTAAGAAGTAGAGATGCGTCTTCTAGACGCACCTCTTTTAGGTCTTATAATAACGCTTGTAGGCTAAGGCAGAACTAGGAATATAACTAGCTAAGCTAGTATTAATTATTTTGCGCTAATATAGTATATATATTTTAATAACTTTCTCTCTATTAAAGAGGTTAGAATTATTAGAATTCCTCTCTATAGTATATTCGCCTATATAGCAAGCGCTGCAGTATAGAGAGAGCAGCAGGGGGGGAGGCAGTAGAGGCAGCAGCAGAGGCGCTCTAGAATAGTTTAGGCCTAAATTAAGCTAATACAGCAGCAGAGAGAGCAGCAGCATTATAATAGCAGCAGTAAGATAGTAATAGTAATAAGATTTTTAAAAATAAGAAAAAATAAAGTTTTACAGAAAGAGCATTAGTAATACTTATTAGAGGGAAAAACAATAATAATAAGCAACGCTAAGTTGCTAGAACGTTCGCAAAGTAGAGGCATATTAAGCGTAGACTGCGTGCTAAAAACGCAGAGTAGAGACATAAAGTTGCTAGGGGAATTAACACTATACGTCTATTTCTACTGTACAGCAGCAACGCAGATAAACCTACTAGAAGAAGAGTATATAATAAACTTAAGCTATAGGCTTAAGTAGATATAAAGCACTATATTAGTGCTTTATTAAATCCTCTTTAGATGTATATTAAACCTATATATATAATAAGTAGAAAAGAGGGGATAGAGAGCTTCTCCTTTTCCTCTTTTCCCTCCTTAAGTTTATAGTTAATACTAGTAATGCTTACATGCAGTAGCCTGTAAGGCTAGTTCTTAACAGCTAGTAAGGCTAGTAATAACTATATATATATAGAAATAAATAGCCTCTATAAAGTAGCTAGCTTAAGTACTAGTTATATAGCTTTATAGCTATTTAGAGTAATAAATATATTAAATATAACTACTAGATATTACTATAATAAATATATATAAATTACTTCTAAACTATTTTAAGACTAAATTAAGCTAAGATAATAAATAATTTCTTTACTAAATATATCTTAAAGAAATATATCTTTAATTTATTTATAAAATAACTTAAGTAACTAATTTAAAGAAATAAAATATAAAAGCTAAGTAAAAAAGTAAAGTTAAAAAAAGTAAAGTAAAAAAAGTAAAGAAAAAAAAATAAAGAAAAAAAATAAAGGAAAAAAAACAAAAAAAAATAAAAGAAATAAAATAAAAAATAAAAGAAAAATAAAAAATAAAAGAAAAATAAAAAACAAAAAATAAACTAACTAAACTAATTAAACTAATAAAAATATTTCTAAACTTTATAAAACTAGTTAAAGTAAGAGAGAAAGTATTTTATAGCTATTAGTATAAATTATTTCTAATTTAATTTTAATTTTAACTAACTTACTATATAAAATAAATATATAAATATTATAAGCTATATTAAGCCTTTAGAAACTTACTATATAGTATATCTTAGTAATTATAAAAAGGCTATCTTTATAGTATAGTAGCTATATAGTAAAAAGTATATTATTTAGTAATATACTAAGCAAATTTTATTAGCTAGAATTAGTTCTTAACTAGTTTATAATTATTTAGTAAGTAGTTTATACTATTTCTATATTTTTATTTTTATTCTTAACTTTATTTTTATCTTTATTTTTATTCTAATTCTTCTTATTCTTAGAAAGAGAGAGAGAGAGAGAGAAGCTTAAGAGTAGAGGCAGAGGCAATAGTAATAATAATAATAATAATAATAGCAGTAGCAGCAGCAGTAATAGCAATAATAATAATAATAATAATAGTAAGAGTAAAAGTAGAGGTAAGAGCAAGAGCAAGAGTAAGAGCAACCAAGTAGGCAGCTTAGTCTTAGCAGTATTCTATTAAAATTAGTCTTAATCTCTTTTCTAATTACTTTATAAGTAGTTTAAGTAGTATATATACTATTTTTAGTTAGCAGTATATAGCAGCTACTACTTTAGTATTAGCAGCAGTAGCTTTATTATATATAGTTTAAACTATAGTATTAGCAGTAGCCATAGTAGTAGTAGTTAGTAGTATAAAAGCAGAAATAAGTATTACCTTAAAAAGCATTATACTTTACTATATAGACTTATATAGTATTTATAATAGTACTTAGCTATTAATATAGTTTAAATATTATTTTATATAAAATAAATATTAATTATTATATAACTAGTTTTAAACTATTTTCTATAGTAACTTATAAGTTAAGTTATTATTTAATTGCTTTTTATTATCTTTAAAGTAGTACTTCTCTAGGTTAATTTTATAAAATTAGATATAATAGTTTTAAAGTAATAACTTAATTATATATTGCTATATCTATAAGAAATAAATAAGAATTAATTTATATATATATCTAGTTAGTATTATACTTAATTATATAGTATACTATTTACTTTAAAATAGTAGAATAGTTCCCTAGGGAATAAAATTAGCTAGCTATCCTAGAATTATTTCTAAGTTAGTTCTAATTATTACTTTTATTATTTCTACTAAAGAAGACTTATAGCATTAAATTTTAACTTAAAGATAAGCTTATTAGCAAGTTGCTTCTTTAAGTTTAAGTATTACTAGTATTATAATAATAACTTATATCTATAAGATATTTTTTTTTAAGTAGTATAAACTAGTTTAGAAATAATTTAATAAGATAATAAAAGTAGTTTAAGTTTATAAAAGAAAAAAAAGAAATATAAAGGTTAAGAAAGATAAGTTTTACTTAAATAATAAAAATATAGTAGCTAAGTATTTACTTTTATATTAATTTATATATTATAAAATAAAATTATAAAATAATATATATATTTATAGAGAGTATAAGTAAATATATAAGTTTAAGTAAGTATTTTATATAATATTAAAGTTAATAATAATTATAAAGATATATATAGCAATTAACTATAATTGTAAAGATGTATGCAGCAATTAACTATAATTGCAAAGACGTGCGCAGCGCTGCAGCAAATCGGCGGAATACAAATCAGGAAAATCGTAGTAGCAGCGTTTGCGGATGCGAGCTAATGTGCGACCGCATCGCACCCCACCTCAACGTGCAGGGCACCGCGGCACTGCGGCACCGCAAACCTTGGCGTCGCCGAAGCAAACGACTTCCTCCCTTCCACTCACCAGCGTGCTAGTGTGTCGATGCGTCGACACACCAGCCCGCGAGACAGCCAGCCATGAGCGACGCCCTCGTCCTGAAATGGATCCTCGACACGCGGCCCCTCTGGCCCGAAGCCAAAGCCACCAAGGACCTCGAAACGGCGGTACTCGCCCCCCCCCCCCCTCTCCGGGCAGCTTGCGTCCACCTCCAACAGAGGATCTAACCGTGACCACGGCAGGCGAGCCGAGCGCTCTCGCTGCTCACGGCTGACGAGCGCGCCTCCGTACTACGATACCACTTCGTCAAGGACGCCAAGCTAGCGCTCGGCTCGGCCCTGCTCAAGCGGCACGCCATCTCGTCGGCGCTCGGGGTCCCCTTCTCGCGCGCGACGCCGACGCCCGGGCCGCCGCCCGGCCGCAAGCCCCTGTTCCGGCGGCCCGACGGCACGCAGCCGCTCGCGTTCAACGTGTCGCACCAGGCGGGCCTCGTGGCCCTCGCGGCGGTGCGCGGCGACGCAGACGGCGGCGCAGACGTCGGCGTCGACGTCGTGTGCCCCCGGGAGCGGCGGGAGCGGGACCACGCGCTGCTCGGGCGCGACGGCTGGCCGGCCTACGTGGGCATGCACGAGAGCGTCTTCGCGGCCGCCGAGTGCGAGCGGCTGCGGGACCTGGGGCGGCGGCGGGGCCCGGACGAGGCCCTCGAGTACTTTTACGCGCTGTGGTGCCTGAGGGAGGCGTGGGTCAAGATGACGGGCGAGGCGCTGCTCGCCGGCTGGTTGGGGGAGCTGGAGATGAGGAATTTCGCGCCCCCGGGGGCTGCTGCTGCTGCTGATGCGCCTCCGCTCGAGGTCTGGTTCCGCGGCCGGAGGGTGGGCGGCGGCGGCGGCGGCGGCGGCGGCGTGTACGTGAGGCTCGAGAGGTACTTGGCTGATTATATGGTTTGCACGGTTGTCAGGGGGGACGTTGGGCGCCGTCTGGGCGACGGGTTTGAGAGTGTGGATCTGGATGCGCTTCTGGATTCTGCCGAGAAGAGTAGTTTGTAAAAGGGGGAGACGGGAAAATACAAGAATAGAGAATCAAGGGGGCTCAGTTATTTGGGATACAGGAGAGGTATGAGGTACAGCAGAGGTGGCGGTGTGAAAGTAGGGGCCGTCAAGTTGGGAAGCGTGAGGCTGGATTAGATAGATTAGACTGCTGACATGTTGGTATCATACATCAGATGGCGAGAGACTTTCGTCGTCGTAGCCCAAGGTGGCTGTATTGTCCATGCAGCTACGACTGGGAAGCAGACACTCAATATATAGAATTTACGATACTGCCAATTTCATTCCTTCCTTTCGCCTATTCAGCACGTCTCTACAGGTGTTTGCCAAAGAAGCCCAGGAGAACCTTGTAGCCGCGCTCATACTCCTCTTTGACTCGGTCCTTGCTCAAGTCGGCACGGGCAGCCATCCAGCCGTGGATCTGGTCTTGAAAAATCTCGACGTGCTTGGGAACCTTGGCTGCATCCTCGAACTTCTTGACGTCCTCGGCGGGCTCGTCGCCGGAAGCCAACAGGACCACGGGGACGTTGAGGCCCTGGGCGTCGGCAGGATCGATCATGGCGGGATGGACCGAGGCCATGACCCCAAACGGGTTGCTCTCCGCCTTGGTGGCCAGCGTGGCGACCTTGCCGCCCCAGCAGTACTGACAAGTTTTTGCTTCACTTAGTTTCCAGCTCCGGCCATTTCTTTGCGGTGAGGACAGGCGGTTTCACTCACACCGACAATACCAAACTTGGTCAGGGATGCATTCTGCCGCTTGACGGCTTGAACATAGGCAGGGACAGCGGCCGCCGTGGCGGGAGGCGGGAACTTGCCAAAGAAGGCGCCAAGCTTCTCCTCCTTTTCGGGAGTGTCGGGGGGGTACCTAATCGTGAGCTTGTCAGTCTTCCTGGTTGAAACATTGCCCTCTCCTTCACGCCCGTCCAACAACGTACCATTCAATGGCGGCAGGATTGCCCTTGAACCAGTCGGGAATCAAGACCTTGTACTTGTGCTCACTGTCGCTATGAGCTAGGATATCAGCACCCTGGAGGGTCTGTTCAAAGTAGCCAAAGATGTCGTAGATGACGACAATGGCCCTGGTCGCATCGGATGGACCGGTAACGTCTATTTGACCCCGACTTCGGCGTCAGTTCTCAGCTCATCGGACCACCCGGAGACGCCCCATTTGGATGGACAGCATACATACAGGTTTTGTAACCGCCAATCTCTTCATAGGTGCCCTTGGGCTTGTATCCCTCGCTCACGACGGGAGGAACATTGCAGCATGGCCGGCTGTGGCCGGCGGTGGCAGGCATGGTCGACATGGTGGGCGACTGGGTGCCGAAGCGGAGGGTGCTCTGATAAGGTATTTGCGTGTCTGCGGTTGACGGTCTCGACAGTCGTTGTACCAAAGGGGAAGACGGTTCGAGATAAACTGCGCGAGCAGGACGATGCAAGCTTGGGGAGAGGGGTTTTATGCAGATGGCAGACGTTGGTTCGAGTATTTCGCCGTCGGCAATGTTGGTTGCTGAAGAGGGGTCGCGCAGCCAGCGCAGCCGTCTCGGACATTAAATTTACACCTCTCGGCAAGCTTCATCAGGCAAAGTGTGGACATGCAGAGACGGCCCAGTGGCGGGGCGCCATCAAGAACAAGGATGGGAGAATCGCAGTTGGAACCGTATGACGTTCCATCAGAGAATGGTGTTGTCATGGCCTTGAGAGCTCTCCAGACTCCTCTTCTTGGACAACTTGTGAAGCTACAAGTCACTGCACAGGAAGGAGGGGGCCGCGGGGCAACCCGGCAAGGTGCGCCTTCCAATTCTCAATTCCGATGATGTCACCGCTACGTGATTCGTCGTCTTCGGTAATCGAGATTCGACACCAGGGGCACAAGGCTGTCCATGTGATTGTAGAAATGGCAGGCGTACCGACGACATAACTACACGTCGTTGAACCGTAGTAGCTGTTTATTTGATGCTGTCTGAGACTTTCTGTACGTCTTTACTAGGAAAATCGCTTTCCTTCGACTTGGCAAGATCGGCTTGTCAATATTAACCTTGACCAACCCCAACGTAGCGGCGTCTCATCACCACAAATGCCAAGGCACAGGAGACCTTCGACTCCGTCAATGAGACGCGACCATGGATAATAGTTCGTAACGGCCTATTTGCAAAACTTGGTGTTGCTTGCCGTCGGGCCATGGATCTACCACCACGCGTAAAACTGAGGCTCAACCAATGATACCTCTCGTTTATTCTGCTCATGTAACCGAACACAGGGAATGTTTTCGATCCGTTCCTTAAAGAGAGCTTGAACACCGGCTCCCAGTTCATCAGCCAGCATGCCGGCTGCTTCTCTGACGTCGGCTGTTGGCTGCCACATGACGACTTCTTTGAGACCCAATGCGCATGCTTCTGCGACGGCCAAATGGAGAAGCTTTGCGATCGGTTTCTGCATGCCCTGGATTCGACTCGTGACCATCTGTCCGATAAAGAGCTTGCGTAGGCGAAAGTCAGGAGCCCACCAGCACCACGCCGTCTTACCCCATCGGCCGCTGTATATGGCTCCATGGAAGGGCGAGGACTCGCTGCTCTCGGCAGGGCTCAAATATTGCTGTAGTGTGCGTGATCTCGCCAGGTGGCCGGCGAAGACAGCGGGTGTTCCAAGGATTTGCACAAACGTAGTCCGGGTACATCGAAGGGCAGAGAGCCGAAATTTGGCGCTGTTCATCTCGAAATGACATAGACCTGTGAAGCCCCCAGACCTGAGCATAACAAGATTTTCATCACCTGGCGGCTTTGGAATACATCTGCTGCCATAGCTAAGACGTAGCTGGAACACAGTCTGAGGCCTCTAACCCAGCTTGTCGTATAATCCGGTACTTGAGCCACTGTAGATGATGCTGAACTCCACGCGGTCCTTTTCCATGGCGTCCAGATCTTGTTTCACCTTGCTCAGCAACTTGGTTGCCATCCCATTCCTTCTGAATTCTGGATGCGTAAATACTTCCGTGATTATGGCTGCCGTGACAGGCTCCATACCCCTCCCGCTGTTCATGATTGCATCTCGCAGGTGAACGGCGCAGCTGGAGATGATGGTTTCCGGGTCACATGGCTTGAACAGGGCCCAATGCTTTGGAGATGCCCTGTGGCCGTTAAACACGACCAGCTGGAACTGCATGTCTAGATACTGTCCAAGAGATAATGGCGCCGCCCACATCTGGCTGTTGTTTTCGAAATGCTGCATTATCTGTTTTGAATTTGCTCTGGTACACACCAACCCTTCGCCGTCTGCACCCGTCACCGACTTCTTGTCATCGGCGTCAGTCACCAACTCTTTGCTATCGACGTCAGTCACCAACACTTTGTCATCCGCGTCAGTCGACTCTTCCGTAGCCATTGTACAACTGTTCGCGAGGAAGAGGCTAAGCGTTCCGTTCGCAAAAGCGGGGTCCGCGGTGGAAGATGAATGGAGAACCTGTAATGATTCCGTAGTATAGTAGGCGATAAAATGCAGAGAACAATGCTTTACCGGCCGAACGTGCGTTACCAAAGTGGCGATGCTTCGTAGATGGGTAAAATCAAGTCGCCTCGTTGCCACCCGGCCGGTGTTTTTCCATATTGCATATTGCATATTGCGTATTGCCAATGACGGTGTGGAAAGTGGCAGCAAGTGCTTTCGACGTCGCCGCCAGCTGGCAACTCCAAGCTCGACCTGCATGCACATCAGAGAATCAGCGAGCCAGCGAGCCAGCGATTCGTCTCTTGATCCGCATCGACAACCGCCAACTCGCCATCTCTGCTTTTGTTCGGGGCGCGCGCCTCCATATACCGACGTCCATGCTTCTCACAACTCCCTGAATGGAGTCACCGCCCTCCTGGCCCCGAGATTAAGCCAGCCTCAGCCACCTGCCGACCTGTTAGCCCGAACCATGGCCCTCTACGCGGCCAGTTGATCTTACAGGCGGATGAAGAACTCACTCTCTGTGCCATTGTTCCCCCCTGACAGTTCCTACACACGTGCGTGCTCTTCAACCAAACTTTGTCCGGTCCAAATATAACTGCCCAGTCCTTCAATGGTACGAAAGGAACCGACCGTATGTGTGCCCGTTCCGGTTACAAATTCCGACTTTCGGAGTCAGCAGTCCTAACCTTAAGTGGTATGTTCCAGGTTTCGCGGCGACTTGGCAATGGTTGCTCGTAAGAATGCCGGCTCGGAGTATTATGTGTCAAGGATGGATCTCACCAAGAAGAAAAAGTCGCAGGCCGAGCTCAGGAGCTTAGTATACGGCATTCAGGTACGTTTCGTGCGACGCTGCGGGCTGCGTTAGAGAACCAGACTGTTGGGAGGTACTCCGTATACAAGCCAGCTAACACATCTTCATGCACGCACACGACGACGGACGTCCCTGACCTTACGGGATCCAATTCCCACCCATCTTGAGACTTGAACCCTGGACGGAGCTGCACTCATATGTACTCCGCACGGTGTACCTACCTTTGCCTGTGATTGCTGGTCAGTGTGCCTTCGATCAGATCTGTGGATCTGTTAACCGTCAAAGTGCCATCCCAATGACCAGGTTGACAAGCAGCCCGCTTGCTCACATGATGTGTCATCACCAATTGGCCGTTGGCTGCCCACATGGGTCACGATGTGTCGTGTCGTACAACGCTAGCATTGTCCAGCATTGGCACTGGGCTGAGAGCAAGTTCGAGAATATTACAAGATTCTCCCTGCAAACCATTCTTAGCCTTTGCTTGGGTCTTACATTACTCTATGCAGAGGGAAGCTGTGCCAGCAACGTCAAACGTCACGCGTCACGCTGGCATGTCTCAAACGCCGTGCACTGGATGAATCCTGGAAACCGTGCTGACGCGTGGTCCCTTCCGGAAAACAAGTCACATGAGGCAGCGAAATCGTCTCTATCTATAGAGTGACAAAATCGGATGAAACAACATCCGTCGAGAGGAATATGTGAGAAATGCTCTGGCCGGAGTCACTAAGTGAGCAAGCATCTTTATTTTCTTCTTTTCTTTTCTTGTCTTTTCTTTTCTTTTTTTCTCTATTTCTGCGAAGGGTAAATCGGGTATCCTAGGTTCGTCAGGCTACAATGGCATTTGAGCAACAGAAGAGCGTAACCTATGGCGCAATCTCATGCTGAGGCTGGAAGACAGTTTGGCGTTCCTTCGTAAAGAAGCGAGTCAGCCAAGCTAGGCCTCTATATCAACTTTTTGCTCTCAACCATCTCGTGTTCACTCCGAAAATTTGCGGCAACCCTGCTCATATCACATTTATTTTTATTTGAATATATTACAAAAAAGCCAGGATAGACCCACCCACCATTTCGCCAATATTGCCCTCTGACAAGTACAGCCCGCAATAAAAAAACAGGAATTTTTCTGGCTTGCCTCTTAGGTCCTTCATCTAAACCATCGCCAAGTGCATGCAGAAGCGGGGAGACGGGCCACGCTCGGTCGATATTGCACAGGAGTGGTCGTCACAACGGGTTTGCTGCCAAGCATGTCGACATGGTCCGCAACGAGGGCATTTTTGCCGTCAAGGTGATGAGTCAAATAACAACAAGCCCGACCAAAGACTTCAGCCCACCAGCCTCCCTTTGCAGCAGTATTACCGCTCCGAAGCGAGACCAAATTCCCCCCTCTTCCCGTTCCCCTCATTTTCTACTGATGCAGCGCCAATATACTCAACACATTCGCAGCCCCTTGGCCTGGCCGAAACGGTGCAACACTACGTCATTCCGCCAGTCTGCCTCTGCGGACCGCCGCGCCTCATCATCACGCAATTACACGCCCTTTCCTCTCGTGCAACCCGGGCCAAGGAACCTGTGTTTCACCGACTATTTCATCCTCCTTCGTTCCGCCCTCCGTGCCGCCGGGGGTTGTGCTTGGAGCCCTCGAGCCCTAACCCAGTGAATTTGCGCCGTGTGCCAATGAGGGCGGCCGACTGGGGTTCTTGGGTTCTTGGGCGTTTCAGATATACTGGATGAGGCTGCAATTAGGTTATTGACATGCAACTCGGGCCGCCTGGAGAGCCAAGTTTGTGCTACAGGTGTCTTGGTCTGACGGAGCACAGGGCCACCCATTCGAGCACCCGTGGATTAGTAAACGGAATCTCGCTTAGGCGCCGTGATTGGAGCCATGTCTCGATCGATAGCCAAGTCCGGGCTTATGCGGATCTGAACGCAATATAGCGGGTGGTGGGCTGAGCGGGTTTGCCGGCAAAGTCCCCTAGCCGTATGTGCTTCCTATAATAATATCGACTCCTATGTTCGCTGCCCAGCACGGTTCTATTAGTGGGTCGATTCGAGTTTCATCAAATGGTCGGCGGATTCCATTCACCTAGACAAGGCACGTAGCGTACAGGTCATGTGGCACAGGCACAGCAATGGAGGAGTTCAATTTAACCTTTTTCCTATCCCAAAGCCTCGACAGATTTCCTGTTTTGCCCCATATCTCGAAAAGGTGTGCCGGCACGTTATCGTTCCAACCTCTAACCATTGCTCCAAATTTCCCAACTCCTTAACTTTTCGTAGCACTGCACCGTTCAGTTGTGCGAAAAATGATAACAACATGACGAATTTGCGACCGTCACTTTTGGCGTGGGAAGGGCCTGGTACTAGGTGTATATGCCATGTCGCTAGCCCAGGGCCGAGTCGGGATCTCAGCCCGGCGTCAAGGAACACGCTTCCCCCAAGTTGTGAAAGCACAATTTGCATGGTCGGCCAAAAGTTGGATCCAGACGGTGGCGTGGGCCATGTATGGATAGTTGCAAGAAAAGAGAGACTTTTTCAGCTGTTGAGCCATGTTGGCAGAATCTCAGGAGAGAAAAGACAAGTGAAACAAAACCTGTTGCTCTGGCCGTTGGAGAGAGGGTATTGCCACGGCGCCTTCTGTCGTATCCAAAATGATCCATCGTCGCTGACCCGGCACGAACTCTGACTGTGATGATCAAATGTAATAGTCCGAGACCCATAAAGGAACTGGAAAATTGTGAGAATGAAAACAGAGTGGTCCTCCTTGTGCATTGCTGAGAAGGCGACATCTCGCTGCCCTCACACTCGCATTATTGCCGTCCTAAATATGTGGTGAAAAGTCTCGCTGCACATCACAAGTCAGTGCCCCATGCTCACTCAATGAGCATCACATGGCGTGCCACAATATCCGCACTTCCTGCCGGGAATGACCCAGACCTCCTTTCCTTTAAGGGCACAAGTTGGGCATCTGGTGCCGGGAATCTGCGTTTACAGTTAGCCGTGCGTTCAACAAGATCGCTGTAGCATTTAGGTCGTTACTTTGTACCTACCTGAGCTCCGTAACTGATGATGCCCTCAGTAGTCTCCGGTGCAGATCCGGGATTATGGGGGGCATGCTCGCTCAAAGAGACTGATGCAGTGGACTGGGCACCGGGAAGAGGGTTGATTTGCAAGACCATTTTGCTAAGTCGTGTGAAATGGCGGCAGGAAAGAAGATACTTTGAATGAAGAGAGCCGAGGTCGTTTGACAGGTTTAAAGCGAAGACAAAGATGATACAACGTTTATCGACGAGGTTGAATAGACTGTTGTGGGTTGGTAACCATGCGTGAATTTCGATAGTTCTGGTGGATGGGCAGAAGTTGTCTATATTTATGGGCTGTTGGGTGACTGATCAAATATGACTGTGAGGTGGATGGAAATCCGGAAAAAGGCGTGGTTGCCGCTCATACTTATATGGTTTTTGGGGCGACTGATCAGATATGATGGTGAGTGAGAAGGAAAAAAGGTTGATAAGTGAACAACAAGGTAGGGGTGTAAGGGAATAAACTCATCACATGAACAGGGTAAGGGACTAGAGCGGAACTAGGCGGGAGCCATCATTCTGGTTGCTGGACTGGATGACATCTGGTGATCGTGCGCTAGGCGAAAAGCCTGTGAACAGACCTGTCATATCGAGTCTGAGACGGTGGAAGACTGCCACTCTTCAGTTATCGGGGGCGGCAGGGGTGTGCGTAGGGACCAGAGGAGTGCGGTACGTACTGCTGGTGCTGGTGGCGCTGCTCTCGCGCTTGAGAAACATTGCGGAGCAACATGGATCGAGCGAGACATGGGCACGGCAGGGGCGAGTTATCCTGGGGACGCAGGTGTGTGTTTCGGTCGGGTTTTGGTTTGGCCGGTGCGAGGGTGTTCCATCGTCTGAGCCCGACAACCGGATGGGCCAAGTAACTACGGAGTAGCAGCTGTCATTCACGGGAGATGCGGTTGGCTGTGGCGGTCTCGTCCCCGTCGATATCTGGGAAGTGGTGCGTTGTCGACAAGATGCCCATCATCAAACGACGGCGGCCATGCAGAACGCGGGACACTGTTGCTGTATGTGCAGGACGCAGGGCCAGAGACCTGCAGACC